ATTGATCTCGCTCTGTCCAGTGCTATAAATTCAATTCTACATTCACAGTGAGTTTAATCGTGGCTTGGTTGGTGGCACATCTGAGAAAACGCAGGTACAGAAAATTTCAAAGAAAAAACAAGGCTGGTGACAAAGCAGAGGATCAGACGGTGGGAATCAATGGTAGGATTTCAATATATGTACAAACCTGTATCTGTCAGTGTGTCACAGAGCAACTGTCAACATTTGTACTCATACTTTTCTACATTGTGCTTGTGTCAGCATATGAGTGGCAGAGCTATAAAAAACCTCTGCATCCAGTCAGCGTGGAGATCGATGGAGAGAAGAAACTTCAGGTGTTCGACCGAAGTGGACCTGCTCTCAGATCCCTCGTTCTCGGCAGTCAGCCCGGCCTGGATGTTCGTCTTTCCACTGATCGTCAGTGCAGAGCTCTCTTGCTCAAATTAGCCAAAGAATACGACCTGGTGAGAAAAGGAAGGACGGACATTGACCGTTTGTTGTGAAACTTCCAGTGGGGACAAATGACTGTGTTGCCTTTGGCCAATTTACCATCTATCCTGATTTTTCCTTGTTTGCCTTTAACCAGGTTTTGTTTTTTGATGACGAGATTAAACGTAAAGCATTTGTCAAACGTCTGCATGAAGTGGTGAGAGACACTGAGCAGGAAATAAGAGTAAAAGAGATGAGAGAGAAGGAACTTCTGAAGGACGCTCTGACCAAGGAGCGCAGGGCTCCGATCGTGGAAACTTTCATTCGCCACGCTTTCTCCAAGGTACTGTCAGCATGAGGATTTCACCTCTGCTACCACAGCTTCAGACTCGGCCACAAAATGTCTTTAAAAGCTGTTCGGGGTCAGGTCAATAATCCAACCTGTCAGTGTCACTGCTGAGCTCATCTGTGACGACGACCTCAGCTGACGTCAGTGATGTTAGTTACCAGCGCCAAAATGGTTACATACATTATTGTAACGTGATTCTGTGCTTTACAGGTCCTGGAGATAGAAAAGTGTGACGCCGGTGACACGAGTGGAAAGTACCACGAGAAAGCCAGGGAGGTTCTGCAGTGTGAGCTCACGGCCTCAGAGTTTGCTGATGCACTGGGCCTCAAGCCTGACTCATTATTTGTGGAGTCCATGTTCACACTGGCTGATAGAGATGGAAACGGTTACCTCTCCTTTCAAGAGTTTCTGGATGTGATGGTCATCTTCATGAAAGGTGGAACACTTAATTCTTTGTTATTTTTATTTTTCAAAGACAGTAACATGAAGGTAATACAATAAAATGAATACAAATTTAAATGAAAATACACATCCTGAAGGTATAAATTCATTGGTGACAATCCTCTGAGGTTTTAGAAATGAATCATCTACCTCCTCATCTATCATTTGGGGCAGCCAGTGGCTAGAGGATTAGAGGATGCTGGTTCAAATCCAGATTGTGGTGTTGCTCAGCAGCCCCCAATTTCCCAAAAGGATTAATGAAGAAGTACTGAAAAATAAATTAATACAAATACCCAGTTGTCATCTGCTGAGCTTAATGTTCATTAAACATATGTTAAATTGGAAATGACAAAAACAAGAACTTGTTTATGGAGGTTGTAAGTTTAAAAACAACAAGCCTCAGAATCACAGCTACATCTGTCTCTTATGTAGCGCTAACAGGTGCTAACATGTGTCAGACTATAATAAGATGTGTATTTATCCAGGTTCTCCTGAAGAAAAATCCAAATTGTTGTTCTCCATGCATGACATCGGAGGAACTGGTTACTTATCAAAAGAAGAATTTGCCAGGATGCTCAGGTTACACTCTGGTTTTTGAACCAAGTCTTTTCTCTTCTTCTGTTGTAGTTTACAGTATTCTATTTCCACTCTTTCTGCTGCAGGTCCTTCATTGAAATCTCCAACGGCGTCCTGTCAAAGATCCAGGTAGAAGATGGAATCAAGGCCATGATGGGGGCAGCGGGCTTCGATGACAAGGAGAGAATCTCCTGGGAGGACTTTCATTACCTCCTGAGGGACCATGAGACAGAGCTGCAGTTCGCTCAGCTCAACGTCAAAGGTTGGAGCCAGATATTTTCTTTAGATTCCTTTTTTCCTATCCTCATTTATCTGACCTGCTGATGAGAGCTGCTGCACGTGCTGTGTGTGCAGGGATGGAGAAACATGGAAGGAAGCGTCTGAGTCGAGACCAGAGAGTCTCCTTCATCTGTCCAGCAAACAGGTCAACCAGGCTGCAATTTATCATCCCTGACAATAATAGGCAACAACTGCTGCCTAACACCATAGTAAAAGAATAATAAATCAAATCACTTTTATTGTTGTTGAGCTGAACCACCACAGCAGTGCAGGAAAAAAAGAAAAAAAAACATTGTCTTTATTATAGATAAATTAAGGCCTAAAAACAGCCTTGGTCTCATGTCAATCAAGGGCTGCCAAAGACTGTTACTGAAAAAACAATGTTAATGTAATTTACTGTTATCTAAGGTAAGTCTGTAATTTGGGTAATTCCATGCTGTGTTGGTGTATTTTCAAGAATAAGGTGTAATCATTCAAATAGGGCTTCAACTGTAAATACGAATACATGAAAACACTAGTTTTAGAAGAACTGCGTATAAAGTTAAAACAAATACAGCGACATTCAAAAGTGTCATTCATTTATTGTGACAAACTATTAGCCATTTTAGAGACTGATATTTTAGACTTTCTAACTGATTGCCTCTATAACTGTTGGTTTATATTTACAGCAACGACAAGACAGAAGGACAGGAGCTGCGCAGACGTCAAAAGTAAGCTCTTAGTCTCTTTAAAACAACTACAATAAACCATGTTTCCCTGTAACAACAATGAAAAGAGAGAGCTGGACTGAATGATGACCATGTGGTGTGGACCACGTGTGATGTCTCTCATCCTCGATCACCGGGCCTGATTGTTCTCTGAATATTTTCAGGTCAGGCATGAACACGCCTAATGTTTATGTGAAGCCCAAACGAGACCCATACATAAAGAACCCAGTTCAGCAGAAGATCCAACACTTCAAACGTTTCATCGAGAACTATCGCCGCCACATCGTCTGCTTCATCATCGTCTACGGCATCTCAGCCGGCGTGGCACTTGAGAGATGTTACCGTGAGTGTTTAACCCCTCACACGCTGCTGCTGCTACCGATGTGTTCTAACACTACATTAAAAACCCATGTGACGGTCTGACCTTTGGTTCAGACTATGGTCTGCAGGCTGAGTCTACAGGCTTCCCTGAGACCTCCCTGGTCGGTGTGATCGTCTCTCGCGGCGCAGCTGCTTCCATCTCCTTCCTCTTTCCTTTCCTGCTCCTCGCCGTGTGTCGTAACCTCATCACGCTGTGCAGAGAGACCTTCCTCAACAGATACATTCCCTTTGATGCTGCCATCGACTTCCATCGCTGCATGGCTATGGCTGCCGTCATCCTGTCGGGTAAGGCTCCTGACCCAGGAGAAGGTCCAGCAGTGACTGTCATCGTTTCTTATATCATTTATTTTAGTAAAATATTTTAGATATTATTCCTAAAACATCTTTTTTTCTTTTTCTCACTGTAGTTGTCCACAGTCTGGGCCACGTGGTCAACGTCTACATCTTCTCCATCAGTGACCTCAGCATCCTGGCCTGTCTGTTCCCCAAAGTCTTCACCAACAATGGGTAATGTGTGGACTGTGGTGTTTACTGTACGTTGTATTTCTTACTGCTTGTATTTCTGTGTTTCAACTGCTCTGTGTTTTAGGTCTGAACTTCCTATGAAGTGGTCCTGGTGGTTCTTCCAGACTGTTCCAGGTCTCACAGCAGACACTCTTCAGACTCTAGACTCACTTGTTTAAATCAATGTTTCTGTTCATGGCCTCTGTCTGTTTCACAGGAACCACGGGCGTCCTGCTCCTCCTAGTCTTCTCTTTCATGTATGTTTTTGCCTCACACTATTTCCGTCGCATCAGCTTTCGTGGATTTTGGATCACCCACTACCTGTACGTCGTTGTGTACATTCTGGTAGGTAATTCAACCACCCCCCTCCCCCACACACACACACACACCTGTGGCACTAAGTGTGTTTGATGACAGTGATGATGCTCTCGTCTTTGTCTCTCAGACGGTGATTCACGGCAGCTTCGCCCTCCTCCAGGAGCCTCGCTTCCACATCTATCTGATCCCTCCTGCTCTGCTCTTCCTGCTGGACAAACTGATCAGCCTGAGCAGGAAGAAGGTGGAGATTCCAGTGATCAGAGCTGGGCTGCTGCCCTCAGGTTTAGCCTCCTCACACACACACCACACCTCAACATTATCAACAAACCTTCTAATTTCCAACTCATTTCTACCATACTGAGCTACAAGTTTAGCTTCTGTCTCAGAATTTTAAAATCTTAATCTCAGAACCTTAAATTTAAATTATTATTATCTATTAAAGCTCATATTTTTAATGTACTTTGACTTTAATCTAATAACTGTATTCATTTTTATATAATTTCATTTTGAATATATTTGTCTTAAATGTACTTTAATTGAAATAGTTTTTATCAAATTCTCTCTCATAACAACAATGTAATTCATATTTTTTAAATGTATTTATTATTTAATTACCTTGTCATACCTTTAATAATTGTTTATTACTTTTCCATCAATAATGGGAGTTCTTCGTTTCTCAAACGTATTCCTTCACGGTGCTTCTTGGTCGTCTCTCTACCTTTAGGTGTGACCCATCTGGAGTTCAAGCGTCCTCAGGGCTTCATGTATCGTTCTGGACAGTGGGTTCGTATTGCTTGCCTCAAGTTGGGCACCGATGAGTACCATCCATTTACCCTGACTTCAGCCCCTCATGAAGACACCCTGAGCCTGCACATCAGAGCTGTGGGGCCTTGGACCAGCCGGCTCAGAGAGCTCTACTCTGAGGAGAGCCTGCTGGAGCTGGGAGCCAATCCAAAGGCAGGTCGTCGTTGGGTGGATTGGAGTTTTCAGCTTCACTGGTTTTAATTTTGATCAAATCTCATAAATCTCATATCTCTTTCAACACTAACCTCTAGCTCTATCTGGACGGCCCGTTTGGTGAAGGTCATCAGGAGTGGATTGACTTTGAGGTGTCCGTTCTGGTGGGAGGAGGAATCGGAGTCACGCCGTTCACTTCCATCCTGAAGGACTTGGTGTTCAAGTCCTCCATCAGGTCCAAGATTCAGTGTAAAAAGGTGACAGAACTCCTCTAAGATTCCTCCCTTCTTGTACGTGTACTGCAGCCGTACTCTTCACCCACCGTTACAGGTGTACTTCATCTGGGTGACGCGGACACAGCGGCAGTTTGAGTGGGTGTCCGACATCATCAGGGAGTTGGAGGAGATTGACACGCAGGAGCTGGTCTCAGTTCACACTTACATCACTCAGGTGGCCGAGAAGTTCGATCTGCGTACCACCATGCTGGTGAGAGCCGGTGTTTTATCATACAGTCTGTACACTATGTTGAACAGTTAGTAAATTAAATAGAGATTTTTAATGTCAGCATGTTATGGTCCGCTTGGTGGAAGCTCAGTGTTCTCACTGAATAAAGGTCTAAGGTTCAAATCCTGATGGATTATTTCTCCCAGGGCAGTTAAATGATGACACCATTCTTCACAGATTCATGGACTAGTTTGGGTTTAGTCATGATTATTGAGATTAACCAACATTTTTTGATGTGTTTCATTCTAGTTTTTGTTTTTGACTAATCCAACTGAATTATTAAATGCAAATATGTCAATAAAAAAAAGTATACATTTATTTGTCTATTTAATCTGAATAATCTCATATATCAATTTAAGAGTTTTTTATTAATTTTTCCAGGTGTTCATTTTAGGAATAGCTATTTTAGAATAGCAATGAATCTTCACTACTGTCATTGATGTGTGTGTGTGTGCAGTATGTGTGTGAGCGTCACTTCCAAAAAGTGTGGAACCGCAGTCTCTTCACCGGCCTACGATCCGTCACCCACTTTGGGCGTCCGCCCTTCGTCTCCTTCCTCAGCTCATTGCAGGAAGTTCACCCAGAGGTCAGTGCATTTCCCCCTGCTTCAGCTACTTTGTGATTGTTTGAAACTTTGCCCAGGACTCCAGTCTGTAGCAGAAGAATTATTCCAACATTTAAACATTAAATGATGTTCTATTAGGTGGCTAAAATTGGCGTGTTCAGCTGCGGGCCGCCCGGACTGACCAAAAACGTGGAGAAAGCTTGTCAGCAGATGAACAAGAGGGATCAGGCCCATTTCATCCATCACTACGAGAACTTCTAATTTGTTCTCAACGCTGGACTGCACATGCTTACTCAACAATGAGCCACTTGGAGAAGAGTTTAGGAGTTCCTAAGAAATATAAGGTTTACCACAGTACATACAGTACAGTAGTAGAAATGATGAAGGAGGACTTTCTGTCAGAGTGAACTGTTTAATGTTTAACTCCACTCTGTTTTAGGGAAATGTGATTTCTTTTAATTGTGAATATCCTTGTTAGGTTTATTTAATCAGTCATAAATGGGCATTTTATTTATCTGACACAAACCTACAGAATAATAATAATTAATACTAATTCATTTAGAGCTCTAGCTCATTTCAGTTCTTGATTTCCATTGAGTTATTTTCATGTTCTTAACCAATAATTTATTAATCTTTTCATCATCATATGATTAAATGTTCTGACAAAAGAATAAAAATAGAGACTGAATTGCAAAGGTTTCATGCCTGATTGGTTCCTAAAAAAAATTTAATTTGATTTATCTTCCCTTCCATTATTGGATGCTGTTTTTGTTTGCTTCACAGAGACGCTAGAGTTCATGACCTGAGTCAGTTTTAGGGAGGATTATGGAATGTGAAGAGAACTTTATTGATCCCATATTTGGGAAATTCTTGTATTAACAACAGGTTTGTTGTTAACTGGCTGTTGCCCCAGCAGCCACCAAGCATCTGGTTCCTTTGGGAATCAAACCCAGGACTCTCTTCTCTCTGCTTCCGAGGCAGGCATGCTAACCGCTGCACTATGGAACCTACTAAACAGCAACAAAAGCGTTACTGTATATTTTTGTCTGAGGTCACAGTCACATGACGTCACGCAGCTGATTTATAACCTGATTTAACCTGGTTCGTTTTAAGCAGTTGCAGTAACAAATAAAGGAGGTTAATGTAGACAAATGGGTGTCTCCGCGGAGGCACCGAGGAGCTGCAGTGTCCTTCACAGCTCACTTTGTTCTCTCTCACCGATAATGGAGGAGGTCTTCACTTCTCTTCCCTTCATTTATCTTTAATGTACTAGGGTGTGGTGTACATTTAATAAAAATGATAATGATAATAATATTTACTATTATTATTATCATTATTATTATAGTAGCATTATTTCATTTTATGTACCACATGTCGACAGGCAATGCTAGGGCACACCATGGACATTTTGCCAGTCCATCCAGGGGGCCATCAACTGAATGAACAATAACACCCAGTAATAATAAAACTAAAATGCTAAAAATAATAGAATAATAACAATTGAATTGTAAAAACCACACCAATAAAAAAAGATAGAGAATTCTGGAAAAATCGGGTTTTTTAATTCAGTTTAGGTCATAATTTAAATGTTTGTTAACTATAAAAAATATAAATAATAATAATATGATATTGTCATGTATGTAATGTTTATACTTGTAATTCCCTCACTCTCTCTGTCCTCCATCTCTTCACACACAGCAGCTGGTTCAGCTGTGGTTCAAGGTCACGCTCCTTTGTAATAGAGTATAATGATAGACTGTAATGGACCTCCAGTGTGATACATTAAGATCCCCTTGTTGCCCTTGGTCCATTTGAATGCTAATGTCTCTCTTGAATGCACTCCTGACATTGTAGTTCTACAGGTTAAAGCTGTTGGTGGTATGTTTTTAAAGTTTAATCACATTTGACATTGAAAAGAAACAAACAGGTGAAAGAGCAGAAAGTCTGAACTACAGAAGGAACAACGTACACGTTCATGCATAACAGGGTTATAGTTTTCCACAATGTCTGGATGAATTTGAACTTCACACACTTCCATGGTAACTCCCTGATGATAATGTTAACTCGTCAGCATTTCACCTAAAAATAACTGTGGATCTTCTGCCCCGAAGGAACTGGAAGGAAAAAAAAGAGACTGAGATTTCTTTTAATTAAAGGCAGTTCACAGCAATTATAGGACAGGCTGAGTACACAGGGGTATTCATCTCTCTGCACGACTGCAGATCCCTCTGTCCAAACATTGGTAGACCTTGTAAAAATGAAATAAAAGCTATGATAGGTGATCTGTTAGTTTGGAGTTTATGAGGAACAAGTAGAACCTTCATGTTCTGATCCGACCTACAGAAGCTGGCTTTCATATCCTTTATTGGTGGATCTGAAAGTGGCTCTGGTGTCAACCTGTTGATCACACTCACCTGTGTTCTGGTCATTAGTCTGACTCGTCTCACCACGGCCTGCTCCCTGTTCCTCTCTTGTGTTTGTCCTGCCCCTGAACCTGGTGTCAGTGTGCTCGTGTTTGTGTGTGTGGGTTCCTGAATATTTTCATTACATCCATGCCTTTATCCAAAGTGACTTACAGAGGAGGATTACCATTATCAGGCATGTTGTTCCTCTGGGAATTGAACCCAGGACTCTCTGCTGTCTGCGTCCAAGGCAGGCATGCTAATCACCAACTATGGATAATTAATAAGCTAATCTCATCACACAGTGAAGGTGTGTACTGCTGCTGTACTGCTCTAAAGTACTGTAATATTGGTGAAATATAAATATAGTTTGAATTTAATTAAAATATTTTTTATTAACTTTTCTGAAAAATAACATTTTTTTTAAATGTATTGAAACATGGATGCTGTGATGAGCATTTGTCAGTTTGTCTACTTAACTATCTAGTAATCTTCTTAGTGACGTTAAATACCCCGCAAGAAATCAGCTTCTGTCCAGATTGTCTCTTCCTGCCCCAGATGACCGACTCAGACAATAACAAAGCTGAGCTTGAGGAACTCTCTGGCATGGTCAACACACTGGGACGAAACATGCACCTCCTCTCCTTTGAGAACTGTGTGGACAAAGCCGTGGTTGATGTTAAGGTAGGTTACCTGAAAATGTTTGGCAGTGGCAGCAAGAAGTGGTTTGTGAAGAAGCAGAGGAGGCAGCAGCAGCAGCAGCAGCAGCAGCAGCAGCAGCAGCAGCAGCAGAGGTCTGGCAGGAGGCCATGCACCAGACGGAAGAGAAGATGGACAGCCAAGATCCTCAAACAGCACCGAGAGAAGATCCTGAGTGAGCTGGACGTCAACACCGTGCTGCCTTACCTGGTGTATGAGAAGGTGTTCTCTCTTGGGGAGTACAAAGAAATACTTGGACATGAGACCAGTGAAAAAAGGACAGAGATATTCCTGGACCACCTGTCTTTGAAAGGGCCCACTGCGTTCTGCTCATTCTGCTCCGTCCTGGAGGAAGTGTGTCCCCACCTGCTAACCTGCTTTCTGCTGGATGGAGAAGGTAGGAGCTGGACACAAGATCTGTGGTCAACCTGACACCGAGGTCACGGAGAGTAGAGTAGAATACTGATCTTTAACAGCTTGAAATTTTTGAAAATATTTAAAAACACATCACAAAAAACTCCACTGTGGAGCTCCAGACTAAGTGCCAGCAGAAATAGCCTCTTAAGTCTGGCCGGCTGAGTGGATTACTGAGCCTCTGGTGCTCTTAACTGGCCGCTGACAACATATGGCCTGTATGTGGCCGCAGTCTGGACAGCATTGTCTGTGATGCACTGAAGCAAATGATTAGCTTAAACCAAAACAATGCAACAATTATCGATGTGTGTCAGCTGTCAGTTCTATCATTGCCCTGCAGGTGGTGTTATCTGTTCTGGTCCTTGAGTCGATTTTGCTGGTTTTGAGAATTTTCTCTAAGGTGAATCATAGGGTGGTAGGGCGGTTAGTGCTCTTGCCTTACAGTACGGAGGTCATCAGTTGAATTTGTACGTTCTCTCCGTGGGTGCAGGAGTTTTCTCTGACTTCCTGTCACAGTCCGAGTCTGGCAGATTAGGTAAATTGGACACTACAGACAACAGACTCTGAGTACAGACACGTCTGTGGATCATTGTGTGTTGGCTGTAGGGACAATATAACTGCTCCATGAAGCCGTACACCTCCAAAACTGGAACGACACTGGACACTGTTTTGTGAAACGTCTTGGAGTTCTAAAATACTGTAGTAAATATTATGCCACTGTTCAGCCAGAGTGAATCCTTACGTTGGTGTTTGAGCCACAAGAATGAAGTAAAAAAAAAAACAGAAGCTTCAAAATGTCTTTATATATTTGTCTGTTCCTACAGATGGAGCACCAGTGTGTGGGAGGGACAGAAACCTCCTGGTTCCACCAAACAGTCCTGGAGGCCAACCTCTGTGCTGCCCCCCCGTGTACACTGACCCTGTTTTTGACTCAAGGTGAGAGGCACTTCCTGTTACGGCCAGTAGGCTGGGTTACATAACGTGCACGCTGTATTATTTAAAGTTGGATGTGGTGGTTCTGAAGTCAGCATTTGTTGACGGCATCTGTGCGTGTGAAAAGTGGGACCCATATGGAATTGTCCGCAGGTTCCATATGGGCTCCTTGTAGATCTCCAACGTGTTGTTCAGAGGCAGCTGGTATCACTGCGTGGTACACAGATCAGAGGACATAAGATTCTACACGTGTAGATTATGGCAATTTTTTCTCCATATCAGTTGTTTCAACTTCTGAAGTCAGTCTTCTGTCTCTTATTAGTCGTTATGTAATCTCATTAGGAATCATGCAGATGGTTGGAACAATAACACACCACACTATACATACTGTATGTACAGAGCCGTCACGTGTGCAGAGGCTTCCAGACTCTGACCGTCAGAGATAGTTAACGTACAGTCACAGTCTCCAGATGGTTGTTGAGCTGCATCTGTTTCCACGTGTGTTTGGTGCTCCATCATCCGTGACTTCTTCACGGTCACATCACTCTCACAGCGTCTTCTTCTGCATCAGTTCCATCAATAATGTAGCTCATGGAATCTCACCAATCTGACCAATATCCTGTCATATTTAGATTTGTTTTTTTTTACTTAGAAGTAAATTGTTCTTTTCATAACGTAACAACATTTAATCCTGTTTGACACATGCAGTTCAGGCACCATAAACAGTGAAATGTGTCCTAGGTCACAACTGACCACCAGTCCTACTTTGTCAAGTGTCTCCTCGGTCCAGTCCAGTCATATCTGTAACATGATGACGTTATGGACACTGGAAAAAAAAGGTTCTCGCTGCTCAGTAACATCAGCACGTGTGTGTATAAATGAAATGAAGGAGTCACTCAACCTTATGAAAGTGAACCAGTGTGTCGTCAACACGCCACGGTGGCAGCGTGTCCCAGGAGATCACCCGCTCTGCGGGGCGGGGAGGGGGGCACTCTGTGGTGAAGTGTCCGTCTGGGGACGATTTGGATTTGACGCCTGCTCTGACAGAACATTTGAGCCGATGTTTTCCCCTGACAGTTGAGGAGCGCTTGGTGTCAAGGTGTGACAGCTCAGTCAGCATGAAGACCAACAGTGTCAGTGGTCCAGTGTCAGTGGTCCAGTGTCAGTGGTCCGGCTCTGGGCGATTACACACATCACACAGATACAGACAGGCCGACAGCAACGACCTGCACCACACCACAGTGGAGCGGCACACAGCAACTGACACAGGCCATGTCATTTAGATAATGGAAACCAACACCTCACATGACTTCAGTCAGATGTGATCACACTCACTGCCTTCTGATTTTTGTCTCATGCAGACAATCAGCTGATATGAGAGAGAGCTTTTTTTTTTTTTTTTTTTTTGCCTTAGTCCTTTAGTCTGTCTGATTCTGAGCCTGATAATCCAGCCCAGTGTCAGACTCGGACAAAGCTGTCTGTGTGGATGTAGATTAAACGGAGATAATCTTTTGTTTATGGACTCTGTGAATAAATGGGACAGAAAGTGCCTGGAGTCGTGGATGCTTGGCTGGGCTGGAGTTTGTGCACCAGCGTGAGTCCCCACGTGACAGAGTGAAGCGTGTCTGCAGTCCTCCTTGTTATAAATGTGGAAACAACCTGGGGAACATCTTCCCCTTCGTTTACGGTGTCTTTGCACGGCCTCACGTGTGCGTCCGTCCTGCTGCTCTGCACATTTTCTCCGACCCGCAGCAGCAGAGCAGATTGACTGTCGGCCGTGCAGGTCCAAGCAGACGCTGAGTTTATTACTTTGGCTTCTTGTGTCCACGCCTGGACAGTGTCCTGCTGGATGAGATGGAACACGTAGCATTTAATCACATTCCAGGCGGGGCCGTGCGTTACATGCGTGCAGGAACTGACGCTGACTGATTATTGAGTTAGTCTGGCTAAAAACAGCAGACTGGAATGCATGTTAACTCATTAGTCTGACAGAAATAGCACAAAATCAATGATCAAGTCAAACAAACCCATGAGAACAACCAGAAGTCTATATGATGTGGTTAGGAGTCATACTATTACTGCATCTGCACAGTGAGTCACTCCTTTACTGAGGGTTGGTCCGTCAGAGTGGAAAGATAATCAGGAGCTCGTTCACTCCTCTGGGCTGTGGAGGATCTGTTAAAGCTAAAACCTGTTTCACAACAGTGAATGAGGCCTAAAACCTTGAGGTTATCAACACTGATCGTTACATACAGTGTGATCAAATCATTTGTTATCTCCAGTCACACCAGCTTTAGATTGTAAACGCCTTTGATGATTGAATATTGTTATATATTTCATTTTTACCAAATCCTCCTGCGGTTGATTTAGAACAGCAGTTATTCTACAGCTCCTCTAAGTGTAGTAGTATTTGAAGTATTGGGCACAAATATATTATGAAGTTACTTTTAGTACCTGGTCTTAAAGACAGATTTGTCTGAAAACCTTTGGACTTTTTTAGAATTTGCCTTTTACCACATCTAAACTTGTTGAATTCATTTTTTATTTCTGACAGTTGTGCTATAAAGTCGTCTTATATAATAAGATAGGGATTTTTATAAAATTGTAAACGTGGAAAAGGAAACAGCTGCCACCAAGAGATTAAAAAGATACAGAAAAAAAATCCCAGTCTTTATAATGAACACTAGTCAAATATTTTGACCAAATTAAAAGTAACGCTGGGTCCTTAAGTACTGTAATTTAACACCACTGAAAATCATGCTATGATTCTGTAATGGATAGTGTTAAAAATACAGCAGCACAAACGTGTAAATATGGAACATTACAACATGTTAGTGATACTCACTGGGAATAAAAAGAGATAATAGTTTCAATAAAGTCACTTGGACACATGTGTCACTTGATTCAGGAAGTGTGTGAGTGTGATTCACCAGGGAGGGCGAGCCATATGTTTGCCTCGGAGGCTTTTACGTGCTGCGTTCATGCGGCCGCTGGGATGATGTAAGTCACTGTACCTTCATCCATACGTGGAGAAAATTAGACGCTGGCAGGTTGGGGGAGGTGGAGAAGGAGGAGGAGATGAGGAGAGATTAGCTGGAGCTGCGAGGTTACGCCTGATGACTCACCTCACAACACGTAGGGAGAAAGCACTGCGACAGCACTGAGGTGTGCGTACGTGTGCGTGTGTGCGTGTTTCGTTCCTCCTGATCTTCTTGGTGCAGTGCCTTCATGTGAGGAGGACTTTCTCTGTGAACTTCTCCTCTTTGTTTGCTGCAAAAGTAATAAATCACTGCGTTACAGCGGCAGTGGTTCTCAGGGCTGCGGTCCAGGTCTGGCTCCTCTGGGAGCGGCCTCTCAGTCCCACAAACCAGCTCTGATTCTGCGATCGTGAATAAAGTGGACAAGAGAGTCTAAGGACACAAGAAAGAAGGGCAGCTCTGCCTGTCCTATTTGTTTCTGGGAGAAAAGGGACTTCAGTGTGTTATTAGTGCAAACTAGTTCCGGTCTCTCTCTCTCTCTGTGTGTGTGTGTGTGTATCAGTGTAAGTGTGCTGATGTACAATCTGGGATGTCAGCAGTGGGTCCTCATGTGAGAAGGGTAATGATGGGCCACGGTGCTCTGAGCCGCTACAGTACGGGGAGAGGAGGTGCCAACATGGAATCAAAGTGCTGCAGTGGAGTGTGTATGGAGATGCAGTGAGTCTCACACTGCAGCACAGCCACTGACCCAGTGTCGCCTCTGAGCTTCCCCAACCTCACGGTCCTACTGGGCCTCATGCAAACGTCCTCTGAAGGTGTGTGTGTGTGTGTGTGTGTGACACAGGTGCGAGGTAAAGATGGAACGGGGAGAGGTTGAGTCGTGTGTGACGTGTGTGAATATCAGTGACTATTTTTCCATGCTCTAATGACCGCGGTGCCTCACATGTCCCACGGTGCCTGATGATCCACAGGGTGACATATGAGTGACACCTGAGTCAGTGGGAGGTGACACAGTCAGCTGTTCCCAGCTCTGCTGGAGAACAGCTCCTCCTGAAAGGCTCTTTCAGAGACTCCAAGGCAGCAGTGACATCACAGCCAGTGATGCAATCGAGAATGAACAGACAGTTTCACTCTGTCACAACTAAAAACACCTCAACATACAGTTGGGACAGGTCTCCATGTCATTCTTGGAACCTTTCAAAATAAAACTCCAACTCGTGACAGGTATTACTTCTTCTGGTCGTTTGTAGGTTACACTTAGTAAAAGTGAAAAGTACAATGAAACTAGATCAAATATCACAGATTTTATTATACTTGTTTCACATGTAATGCAGGCACTGTCAGTGATTTTAACAACATACTGTAATACTGAATACCTTTTAACCAACATATGTAATATAACTACACACCATCACTTTGTCTTTACGGTGGACATCCAATACTATTCTAACACATTTATTTCTAAAACGTGTCTCTGAATTTTTAAAATTTCTAATCAGCCCATAGTACAAACGTCTAACGTCTATTGGCTCAGACACGACTTAAGTCCGTTGAACCAGAGAGAGTGAGAAAAAGTCTTCTTTGCTCAGGTGAGATGGAGATCCTCAGCACTGAGACTGTAAAGTCCAGACTAATCGACTTACTCTGGAGCTTAGCCTGGCACCTCTGTGTCACTCCATGACTGAAGAACAACCGCAGCTTTAATGTGTGCTGCTGGTGCCAGGCGACTGCTCTGTATCAAACGTGGGTGACTTCACTGAACACCAGGTCACAGTGTAACCTACAAACAAAAGGTCAAGCCTCCATGTCTGACCTAAATATGACAGGATGAAGTAAAGGCTGAGCCTAACATTAACTGTTGAAGAACACCAACACTCCTGTGTTACAGCAGTGGCTGCTGAAGCTCTTGAATAAACTCCGACTTCCACACCTTAATCCTGTTATAGGCCGTAGTCTAATCCAGTTCTAGGTGAGATGAGGGGAAAGGCAGAGCTACACGCTGGACAGGTCACAGGGTCACGGTGAGGAAAACCAATTTAGGGCTACGATCTGGTGAGGTATTTGTTCATTTAAAGGTAAAATAAAAACAAACTCCTGTTCATATTTCTATGTGAACTGTAACAAAACAGAAGTGAGACGTATGTGCAGTCAGAGGTCACAAGTGTTTGAAATATTACTTAGTTCACTATTAAAATTGAGTTATAATTTGTTTTTAGAATTTTAGAATTTAAAATATGAATATTTAGAAGAACATACTGTCTTTTATACAGTTTACTACTGATAAACAGATAAATATAACTGACAAAGAACAAGTAAAAATATCAAAACACCACATCATGTTAATTCTGCTCAGTGTGTGTGTGTGTGTGTGTGTGTGTGTATCTCTGGCTGTGTTTCACTGTATACAGTAGCAGAGCAGCAGTGGAAGGTCACAGTGACTCTCTCTGCTGCCCCCAGCTGAACCTGAGTGACGCCACCACTCTGAGCCAGTACAGTATGAATGTCAAATTTAAATAATACGCCGACAACAGTTGTTACAATGGCCAGAGAGAATCCACCTCTGAGCAACATGGTGACAGGTTTGAATCCTGGTTCAGTCACACACTGGTACTGCACAGAAAGAGTTCTCTGAATGATGTTCAGTCAAGAACAACCTGTCATCTGGACATCTGAGCCTAACAACGTCTGTCAGAGAACCTTCGGTTCTGTTCCTTTTAACAGGGATTGAACAGTATCCAGGCATCTGTGAACTGCAGAGGTCAAGGTCATGACTTGTGAAACAGGATGTTCTTACACTTTGCCTGAAACCAGGTTCCTGTTGAGTGGCACTGTCAAACATGACATTCAAATGATCATTTAAGAATAAAAGAAGAAATGAAAAGAAAAAAGAATTAAAACCTCCTGACTTGGTCCTGCTGGATCTTCCTGTTCACCTAAACCTTTTGGAGCGCGCTCCTGACATCGATTTCCAAATAAATGGACACCAGAGAACTATTCTTTACAGATTGGAGTTTTTATTGCTTCTGTTTTTTTTTACAAAGTGCATCAACTTTTCTGGAATCTGGCTTCATCAGCTGTGTTTTTGGCACTGAGTCTTGTTCCAGTTACACCACTGCTATTGATGACTATTTCCGGAGAATATTCGGTAACTCGGTAGCCCCTAACTGCCGAGTAACGGAGGCTTTAAGCGATGCCGCTGAGCTGAGCATCCTACCCTTTCCTCCCTCCCTCCCTCCGTCCCTCCCTCCCCCCCTCCCTCCCTCCCTCTCTCTGTCTCTCCCACCCACCACTCAAAGCCTCCATCTCTCCCGCCAACCCAGGCTCCCTCTTCTGACTGTACAACACACGCACACTCTCTCCTCTACCTCACACACACACGGACGCCTGGACGCTGCAGCGTTTTCAACACTGTTTCCAGCCCTCGGCAGGAGGGAGGAGGCAGGAGAAGGGAAGGAGACATGTCCACATCCTGACCGTTAACAAACAACACGTACCAATCGAATGGATCAGCGATCAGTGCGCGGACGGTAGAAGACGGTCAGAGTGTGATTGCAGACATGGGTGGCAGCGGTTCGACACCTCTCCTGCTCCTCGGGGAGTGTTTTCACCGTCAGTCCTTCAGCGCTGGAAATGGCGCTGTGATGCTAAGCATGGAAGACGCAGCGGAGGCGGATGCCAGGGAATAGAGAACTACATGATCAGCTGTGCTTTTTTTGGGTTGGATTTTTAGTAAAAGTGGACTGTACCATGGTGAATTACCAGAAATACATTACTGTTATGCAGCTGGCTCTGGGGGTGGCCGCCGTCAACAAAGAACACTGTCTTCCACCCAGGAAGCGAATGTGGTGAGTATGAATCTTGGTCATGAGGATGATGATGGTGGTGCTGATGCTGATGTGATGTAGGTTGGGAGAGCGGGGAAAAAGGAGTAAAGAGTAAGAGTCGAGCTGCTGCCTCCTGTATTTCATCAAATAATCCACGGATCCACGCAGGGTTTCATCCACTCACTCTCCAAGCTGACACTACATTCAACTGAGCCACTGCAGCCAGTCTGCACCATGTTCCCACCACCACAGACCCCACAGTGGTCCATACCTGCTGTCACACCAGGGGTAGAGTGTGCTGTGGTGTCCTTCCTCTTCATCACTTTGTAAAGTTGAATATTTCATCGTTATTATGATGTCACAGCGCCACCATCCTGTGTTTTTTTTTCTTTTCTTTTCAACTTCATGTGCTTGACTGTACCGTAAGGCCTGCACTGCACTCTGCACCGCTGCTCTCACTGGAGATGTCATCATCAAGCCTTAACCATGTTGTAAACATCATCCTTCTCCTCACCCTCCTCACCCTCACCCCCATCGCCACTGCTGTTGTGAAATATTGAATAAAGTGTAAAGCATGAAACATGGTCCTCTCCTGTTTTTATTTCCTGTGCTGCATCTCCACACATCTCATACAGCCATGTCCATTAAAGAGGAAGAACGCGGGCCAGTTTCAAACACACTGGGCTGTTGTTTGAGGTCAACTGATACGCCTGTAGGACAGAGGACAGTATTTGGTTGGTCGTAGACACAGTTGTCCAACGTTGGCCTCATTCTCACAGAGCCAATCTAATTTTCAAACAATAACTCATTTCCCCAATCTTTAAAGTATAACTAACAGTGCAATGCAACATGACATTGGTGAGGTTGTCTGTAGAAATACTAGCATATGTTGCTGTTCTATAAGAAACATACGCTGCTTTATATAAGATGTAATTGCCTAAGACTCTTCGTCCGTAGATTAAGTTTGTGTGAGTCATGCTCCGCTCACGTTGGTTTTGACAACTGAGTCTACGATGACCCAAAACTTCCTCCTGTTTTTTTTTAACTTGCTGACCTTGAACGACGATTCTGTGCCCTGAAAACGGCCTGGTTTCTCCTTCAAACATTCCCTGCTCATACACAACTGTCAGCATGTGTGTGTGTGTGTGTGTTTTGTGTCTCGTCTGTCCATCTGTTGTGCGTCCTCATCACCGTGTGACGGCTGCCCAGAGTGTATACTCAGTAGAACCCAGCGTTCACCTGGGCTCCTCCTGGGGCCCTGCTCATTCTGTTGACTTTAAGACACTTTCCTTTTAATTATTTTTTCTTGTCGTAAGCAGATTGCTGCTGCAGCTACAATTTATGTGTGTGTTTGTGTGTGTGTGTGAGCGAGGTTAAGTTTTCCCCAAGTACAACAGTATACCATCTTGTCTTAATTTCATATATATTTCACACAAACTGAAAAGATCACATTCTTACTGTGGATTATTTACTGTAAAACTTCCTCTAACTCCGATGACAATTACAAAAACTTTTAAGTTCAGATACAAATTATTTAAACACCAAACTGTTAATTGATGATTTAATTAAGAACTAATATAATTTTTACCTTTACTGGCTTTAAATGTGTACAGTATTGATACAAAATGTTTGGTAAAATCATTGGTAAAATAATTTTAATAATGACAGAGAGATATTTTGTAAGAAATGCAGGTTAATATTTAAGGTGTTTCATGTTCGATGAAATGCAACCGCGTGCTGTTTGTGTGGAACCTTTGCTCTTCAGCTCACTTGTCACATCAGTTCAACTGAAGTGAAACTCGATCACCATCGTCAGTGTGGTGGCTGTCCTCAGTAAAGGTCAGCTAATGGTCACAGGCAGGGGTTTATCTCTGCGCTTGTGTTCCATTGAAGGAGTGATTTCCGACCACTGTGTAGCAGCACGTTGTTGTTGGGTTACAGATGTCCAGATTTCCCTTTACTCATCAAAAAAAAAAAAAAATCCTTAATTTCACAGCAAATCATTTTCCATTGGATGTGATATAATATACAGTATATCAAATTGACATTTTACTTTAACACTACTTTGAATGGCACGGACAGTTCAACAGGAAAGAAATGAGAACGTTAGGTTCTCTCTGGAATAAAATAAAAACTCTAATACTGAGAAGTACACAAGGCTGTAGGAGTATAAACCAGCCTGTGTTTACTATCATTGTCACTCTCTGCCAGGAAAAGTTGGTTTAACCTTGTTTTCAAATGATATTGATAAGTTGATTAAAGTGACCTATGAGATCAATACAGCTATATCCTCATTAACACTGCATGTCAATGAATGCTGCCCATATTCACCAGTGGAGCTTAAAGTAACAGTCAACACACTGGTCTGTCGTCGGGTAAACAGTCGACGGCGGTTTTTAGTCTTTGACAGATCGGTGTAGAAGTGTCGTGTGGTTTTTCTCTGCTGTTCAGTTGTGTCGTTCGTCCTCGAAGCAGGCGTGAGGTAATATTTTCATGGAGCAGCGGTAGAGATGGGGTGAAGTATGACAATACAACAATAAAAGTGAGATGTAAACAAGTTATTAACGCTAACAAATCAGCTGACAACAACTGTAGGTGTAGCTCTTTATTTTATTTATTTTATTTTTGTCTGCTTTAATTTGAGGGATGTATCAGGAGACCGGGACAAACTGAGAGAACAGTGTGAAAGTGTTTTTTTAGCAATTGTCAATACAATTTAAATGTTATTTTGGGGACCTCTCTTGTCGAGCGTCCAAGCAGCATGTCCGTCATTGGGCCTTTGTCTGTTTCTCATGGAAATGGTGATGATTATGGTCAGTATGATGTTGAAGCAGCGCTGCTGTATTTACCATGTTATCTGAGTAAGTGCCACTCCAGTCTTTGTTTACACCACAACACTGTACAATCAGCTGCTCTCTGTTGTTTTAGTCTTTAATTGTGTGAGAAACGTAGGTGTGTGTAGCACATGGAAAAAAGAGAACTTCCTGTATAGGATCCATTCACGTTCCACTTGTTTGTTGTCAGCCATTCCAGTTTAGACCAAAACAGCACAGCAACATCCGTCTTCTTCAGGACAGTCTCTGAGGTCTACAGATGACTCAGTCTGTTTCTGCATTCTGTCCAGTCTTTGGATGATGGATAGACAGACAGAACCTAATTAGAGTTCTATAGGAAGTTCCACAGGGGAGACAGCAGCTGGTTAGGTGACCTGAGACTACAGATTTAAGCATTTGTTAACAAAAAAAATAAAACATTTATCATCATTATAATAAGTCCTGATATCAAAGAGTAAAAACGAAATACAATACATTTTTTCCACTTCTAAAATTTCCCACTCGTCCTCATTTCGACTGAGTGAGAAACACAAAATGTTCTTCCCCTTAAGACACAACCTAATCAAAGGAATTAGGATCAGAATTTTACTTTTTTTTTTTTTACTTTTTTTGCTGTTGTTTAAGTAACAATGGTTCATGCCTTTCTCCAAACCGTGGAGATAAAGATGGAGCTGCGTCAACAGCAACAGCAGCTTCTCTCTCTAAATTCAGATAAGCCTTGGTAAACAGATGTTCCTCTGGCCTGCAGTCTTTAAAACCCCATTCCTCCCTGCACACAGCCAAAGATTGGCATTAACCTGACTTAATGAACTTTACACTGTTGTAAGCCTGCAGGGATAACACATACAAACAGCTCTGGGGTTTTTTTGTTTTTGTTTTTTTTTTTTGTTTATGTAACACTCTTGTTATTTTTAACTTGCACCTTTTATCTTCAAACCAGAAAGAAAAGAAAGGAGGCCGATGGAGTGGCCGCCTGCAGCACAGATACCGTTCATTTAGAGCTGCTCTGTTGAAGTTGCTGAGTATGACTGTGTTTCTTTTACTGTGCATGTGTTTTATTGCATCTATCAGACATTGGTCAGGACGACTCTCTTTGTTAAGTGTTATGTTAGCACTGGCCAGGATGGGAGGAATGAAGTGTAACATTGCCTATTGACCTGCTGATTAAGCAGCGACCATTATGGCTCAAAGTAATCGGACTTGATGGCTCCTCCAGGCGAAGCAGAGGCAGAGAGGGAAGATTTGAGTCGGGCGACTGATTAATGTGTGTGTGCACAGTGTTCTTTCTTTGTTATAGCATCAGACATCTGCTTGACCTTATCCGTGAACTACATAATCACACTGTAATGGAGAGTGCTGAATAAATGGCCGAGACAACATCAACAGGAGCGAGCAGACACATCCAGAAAGTGAGCATCAGAGCAGTTCCCCAAAGAAAGGAGAAGGAGTAAAGAAAACTATTACAAATAGTGTTTAACATCTGGTAGAAAACAAAAAAAAAGAACAACAAAAAATGACATTATATTGTGCTCTGCCGCTATGATGAACGAATGGTGTTGGAGGAGGACTCGTTATTTTAGGAAACACACTTATCCCTGTGGTGGGAGTGAGATGAGGACATGAAAACTGTCCTGGTGTCTATATGCTAATGAGAGTGTAGCCTGCAGCAGTCGTCACCTGTCTTATCTTTGCAAAAATATGTAGAGTGTAGAAGCAGCTAACCCAGCTGTATCTCCTCACCAGAACCACTGTACCTCACCTATTAATACATGATGTCTCTTTGTTTTTCAACAGTGTCATAGAAGAGGCTGCAGTTTTATGCAGTTATTATATGATATGTGAAGTAAAAACAGCAACTCCTTTATCCTCTGTTCTGTTGCTGAGATGAGATCATTAGGGAAGTCAGGTTTTTCTCTTTATTTTGTGATGTTTTTCCTCCAGGTCACCTAGCTGTGAACAGACCCCTGTGCAGCAGTATATAGACAAAAAGTTGTAGCAATTATTGTTTAAAATCATCAAAACACACAGTAATGTATTTTGGCCGAGGTGGTGCACTCGATAGAAAAAGATTTGTATAAAAGCAAAAATATATAGATTTAATCATAAAATGAACTGAACCGTAAACTAACTAAAATGAAGATATTAAAAGTGAGATTGGTGGCAATTTTCTGTTAGTTGTGTAAAAAGAAAACCTAAAAAACCTAAAAACCTAAAAATAGGTATTATTTTGTCTTCTGAGATCCTAAAAGAGATCTTTAGATCGACCACGAAGCTAAGCATACGCGACATATGAGCTAACAATTTAATGGATAGTTTAGTAAAGTACATTAGTACATCAATTAAAAATTAAAAATAAAACTTAGCAAAAACATAAATGATTGCGTAAAGTAAGCTGATATAAAAAGCATGGAAAAGTAAAATGTTAGAAACAAGAATGAAAGTGTTGGCCAAAAATGCTAATGTAGCAGTTGGCTAGAATACCATTTTTTACTACTAGTTTTATATGAGAGTATACACTCAGAATTAATTTAGTGCAAATCAACTTTTACGTAGTTAAAAACTGAATGTGTCTCTTGTCTCTTTTTACCGACCAAAAGGTGACTTTGATCCTTTACACTGGCGTATGAGAATGAGGGATGTTTATAATGATGATAATTTTGAGTAAATACAAAAATACAATAATTATTATTTGAAGAAGAATACAATTAATATGCATTTGAACTGTATATATATATATATATATATATATATAATCAGTAACCCTGAGCCCACACCTGAGCCTGGTCCACTTAAAAATGTGGTCAAATTCTCTGCGTCTCCCAGAAGGTACACAATGTTCTTTCAGCCGTGAGAAGGAGAAGGGAGGACGTTTACGTTCAATGTCAGTGTTTAATGTATGTTTCTGATCCTGGAGTGAAACAAATTGTACCTGCATATTTTATCTGGGGAAAAAATCCTCAGGAAGGCCACGTGAATTCACTCACCGCACATTACATCTGAGTCGGCGCTGTTGCTGGCACCGGGTTACAATCTGCCTCTGTGGCCTGAAGAGTTTTGGCCGGAATCCATTTGAAAATCAACATCACAGAGATGAATTGAACGTGAAGGGCTGCACTGGCCCGGTGATACAGTCCAAGCTGCTTTTCTCATTAGTCACGTTTGCTGTATTGTTTATGAGAACAACCTGAGGTCGCTTGTAATCGACTGCACACGGTGCAAAATGTTTCTGCCTTGCATTTCCAAACAGTAAGCACCTTATTTTGCTCCAGGCAGCCGTTGAATTAATGCAGATAGAAAGTGGAATGTGATGTTCCCTTTCCTCCTGTCTTTGTTCGTTCCATTCTCTCGTAATTTTCCCTGCTGAGCCTCCAAACCTCGGGAGCTCCTCCGGGCCCGGTGCTGAGCACGCTAATGGATATCTACTGTCTCTGAGCCGCATGGTGTGGAGAGGATTTTTCCTCATTGAATTCTGTGTTAGCTAAATCCTCATTAGCAGTGACTGAGAGAAAGGACTGGGCTGAAGTAGAGGAGGGGAGGACGGAAAAGAGAAAGGACAGCAAGAATAAGTTACCCCACCCTGTAACACAGAGCAATAAAGCCTGAGAGCTTATTCCACATTATTCCTGTGGACCTAATGTTGCTGCTCTTCCATAATTCATTATCCTCCGACTATAAACAACAAATTAAGCGGTGCATTATTTCCTGCGACCGATCCTTTGTTTGCTCACATAGAACTAATTTGCCTCAATTCCTACTGTAAAGCAGTGGGATTAATTGGACGGCCTATATGATATAAAAGAAATGAAATGATATATAATCATCATAATGTATTTCTGTAAGCCACTGCTTACTAATCAGCAGGTCAGCGGTGTGTTTTCCTCATTTGAATTTTTTAAATAATCACATTTTCTTGTTTACGTTTGGTGTCAGTGTAGTAGTGTAGTATTGTCTCAACATTGTTAAAATGACATACTGCATGGATTATATTTTGATATTAAAATTAACCTTCATCGTTCAAGCTAGACTTTATTTATGAAAATGAAAATAGTTATTTATTTTTAGCCTGTGTGTTTTGGCTAAATTTGAACTGAATTTTATGAAGTTTTAGCTCTAAATTCTCAGACATTCAGCTTCTGCCCAACATTATTCACTGTGTCTATTTCCTTTTATGTGATCGGCTTCATGTTTAAAACAAAATGCTAATTCATGTGGTTGACTCCAGTATGATTAAATTTCCTTCATTACTTCATTACAATTATAAATTGATCAAAGACTCTTGTTATGCACCAAATAAATATATGAAAGGTGTCTGCAGTGTCAGTGAACCATGCCTTTGTATTACTTTATGACCCTTGAAACAAAAGACATCAATGAAAACCAAACAATATTCAATTATTATGAATCATTTTTATGAATTGGATGAGAGGACTTCCACAAGTTTACATGAGTGACGTCTAACAAATCCATGCTGAGTTTTTTTTAAACTTTAACCTTGGCCAGTGCTTTATCAGTCTACTGATGAGGATACTTATGTCGCCACGTAAGGCTGTAATGAGGCAGTCGGATCGTTAATAGCCCCTTGTGCCTCATCGAAATGAGCTCAGATGACAGACTATGAAACAGTGTTGAATTTATGAGAGGCAGGGGAGTTTTTATATACATACAAATTCAATGGATTTATTTTACCCCCTCTGAATGAGACAGAATGGAGAACATGATGTATGTTCAAAGTGTCAGTCACACTTCATTCACCTTGTATCTGTGCTGGGTATATCTGACTTTGTTTAGACGAGTCAAGAATGTCCAATGAATCAAAGTATGAATTTTCATGTATTAAGATCCTATGTGGTAACACAGAAAGAAAAACCTGCTTCCAATTACTTATATCTGGAAAAAATACTTTATTTTAAGTATGTTAGAATAAATGGTACAGTATTAAGTATAGATTTAAATTTTATATAAAAAACACCTGCTACCTCTAGGGAAAATAATTATTAAAAGTCATGGGTTTACAAATGTCACATTGACATAACATTGTTTCTTTTTTGGTTTGAATGTCATTATGTAATGTTTGTGTGTTTGTTTGTTTATTTGACAAAATCATTACAAAAGTCATCCTAAAAAAAGATGAATGTGGCGTCCGCTCCAAACAGCATAATCCACGTTAACAGACTTATTATTAATAAGCACTTAACTTAATCCGTTAAGTGCTCTTATGAAAAAGCAATAATATAACAAATCTACCTCTTTCAGATTTACTTCCCTTAAAGAAACGTGTGTTTGAACTCCACCCACTGGTAAAACATAATTTACAGTGGTTTGGACTTGAAGAAAAGCCACGGTGGATCATGAAGCAGGAGGAGGTGATACACAGTTATGAAAAATGACTGGATTCAAAGGGAGTGAGAATTATTCATATTCTAAGAAATTCACACAGTGCAGAATAAAACTAAAAAAACAAAGAGTAAAGGACAAAGATAAATGTACGTGATGAACCTTTCCAACGACCTCAGAATAACTGCTAAGACTTTGTCAATTATTTACCACAGCTGTAATCAACCATGCAAAAAGGACAGTCAGTAGAACCTAACACAGGATCATACAGCCGGGTTAAGGTTATGGTAAAGATACACCTGTAACCCTGACAGACGGCTGTAACTGAGTCAAGAAAAGATGACATGAAATTACTGTAGTCATGCCTTTAATTAATGTGAGAAGAAAAACTGCAGCTGCTGAGTGAGTTCAAATCTTTCAGCATTTAACAGTCACCCCAAAATGTAAAAAATAACATATTTAAAAATAAATAATCAATAAATGAAATCGACCATAAATTATTCTGATCTGTTATTTATATAATATAATTACAAAAGTGACCATAAAAAAATATATTAAAAAAATTACCTCAAAAATTATTTAGTCTTATAAGGATTCCAAAAAAAGTTGTCCACAACTGAGAATCAATTCATATCCAGTCTACTCAGTTCACAATTTGAATTTAAAGATATAATGTGGCAAACGCAGCATGTTTTAAATCTCTTAGGAAGTCACATGTGAAAAGAATAGGCAGTAGAGGAGCTGAGGGTGTTAATGTGTTCTGCAGGGATCCATCAGTGTTGCTCATTAAATCTGTCACGTAAAGCCTGATAGATCAGGGTTCACACTGGGTTCCAGGAACTGTTCTGTGACTGCTCCAGCCCCAGGAGCACCACCGGCTGAGCTGACCCAGCCTCCCCACAGGTCCTCACTGACCTTCACTCCACTTATAGATTTCTTTAAATGCCATTTTGTGCAGCAGTGAACTGTGGCATTTTGAAACCAAGTGGCCATGGTGTGTTCTTTCCTCCTCTTCCTCTTCTTCTTCCTCTTCTTCTTCTGTCTTTCTGCGTATGTCTTGCTGTGTAACAACCATGCTGTGTGTACTCACGTGCGCTGCTCTCGTCTTTCTCCGCTGACCCCAGGATACACCCCAGCCCGACCGCCGGCTCCATCACAGCAGCCTCCTCAGCGAGCACCAGTCAGGGCAAGCCATCACTCCGCCGCATCAAGGGCCGCATTCACAGGAGCAAGAGCTTGGACAGCATTGATCTGCTTGACTCCAATGTAAGTGAACTGGCAATTCATTCATGAGCTCAGTCCACCTCATCTAACAAAAACACCACTAGACCTTAAGAAGGTGTCGTCATCTGACTGAGGAGATTGGATTAAGTCAGACAAAAGTAATAGTTGAAGATAAAACCTCATAATTTGACAAAGAACTCCAAATATACATTAGCTGTAGGTGAAGGGGTTTCTACTGCTCCTTGGTGTATAATGATACAGGGACGTCTCAGGGGCATCTGCATAATACCCAGGCAAAATAAATTGTCCATGTCAATGTCCATAATTTCAATTTCATTCAATTTAATTACGTATTCATATATTGCTAACTTGTACTAATCATACATCATCATATTTAAATATTTTGGCTCATAGTAGCAATGTTTATGGTCAATTTTGAACTATTTTCTGACTTTGAGAATTTTAAGTTATGATTCTATAACAGGATTACTGTAGCTATGTTGCCATTGTGATGCTTCGTTCAGCCATTAGCCTTACATTTTGTTCTGATTTACCTACGTTGTGACAAACTGTTGGCCTTAAACAGTTTGTCATTTATTTCTTAACTATCTGATCATTAACTTATAATTAAAACCCCTTCCATTGTCCTGCGTGGAAGAGTTATAGACCTTCAAAACAATTAAAGCTACAGACGAGTATTCAGTTTCAAAATACATGATACGTGCGCTCTGTAAAAGAATGGTTTTGTCAACCAGCTTTTTCAAAAGTTTATTTTGTTATAAAAAAGCATCAAAGGCCCTGTTCATTTCTGACGCTACCTTCGACAGCAGCTACTGAGCTAAGCTGTAGAAGTGGCTAAATGTGCTTGTTCTCACAGGAACAGATTGCGTAAGAACGGCTTGTTGTGTTTGTGTTGTGGCAAAAAATAAAGCTGTGGTGAGTTTTTACGACATCCAGTCCAGACTTTACTGCAGAGCCATCTGGTTCAGTTTACTGTTTCAGCTGAAATCCAAACGTTCTGCTAGCTTTAGCTTTACGTCAATACAATATATGACATTAAAAATATGCTCCTCGTAGGTCTGTTCTTTCAAGAGAAGCTCCAGGATCGTTACTGCAGGAGTATCATCACGTGTAATAATTCCACTTTCTAAATACATTCAACAGCCGCTTTATGAGGAACTTCCTACAGTACTGGTGAAATGTCTTCAGAACGGCTGTGATTCAGCACGTCTCACAGCCGCTCTGATCTAGATCGAGTTTTTTCCTTATTTTACATGTTTTCCTGCTTGATGTACAGTAACAAATGGACTTGATCGGCAACATCACTCTGTGGGATTTACTGCCATCCTGCATTAGGGAATTTTAACCTCAGATTCCTGTTCTTGGCTGATAGAGGTAGAAGTCTTCTTCTGCTGGACGGCTAGACATGTGATACATTCAGTGAAGCTCCTCTCTAGATTCTCAACAGCTTTGAACCCCTTTTCTTATGTAGTTTGTACAAATGCATTGATGTGATGCCATGTGATTGGCTGCATTTGACATTTGTATTTATAAAAAATGAAAAGGCATTAAGGTTGGTAGTGGGATCATTTTGGATATTTAACTGCTAATGATTGAGTGAACAAAGGACCTACCTTTATTTAAAAAAAAAACGAAATGATGACGGACTCCAATGACTCATCGTGTTATGGTCTACTGTCCACATGACTGGTCCTTCAGAAGACGCTCCAAATGACTGAGAGCTTCTGGCCGTTCTACAGTGTATTTCCTCTATACGGACTGTGTGTGCATTGGAGGAAAACTTGCTGACTTGCCCAAACTCCAATGCAGCTGATGGAAGTAACAGTCCGCCTCGCAGTGAGTGATGAGACTGCAGGATGCTGAGCTGAGGAGCAGCTTCTATTGCATCCTACTAAAATGTCACATCAAACCCAGCGCTGCCTTTGTGGCCCCGGATGAACTGCTGTCAGATAAAATAAAAACTGCCCTGATTGGCTGTTTCAACAGATGCGTGGGCCTATTAATCAAATCAGTACATTTATTCAGGCCCATAACCATCACTGCCCGTAATAATGGTGCTAAATAATCAATAGTAGTTTAGACTTTGTTTGTATCGATCGCTCCTTTTGATTGCTTTTCTCTTTTGATAGTCAGGGGAGGACATTGGCACTGGGCCCACTCCTGCTGTCATTTGTGTTGGCAAGCAGTGCACTTGTTCACAAAAAGCTTGAATCGGATTTTAGTGCTAGGGCTGCACAAAGCACGAGTGAGACGAACAGGGAGGAAATTACACTCCTTTATGCACCCCGTGGCTTTGTGTGTGGCCAAAGTGATTTTTTGGTCATCATCAGCAAGGCCGCCTCTTATTGCAAAGTGGCAGCACATTTACTGCACCTCTCCATGCAGTGAGGAGATGAATGTGTTCATGTGTTAAACACAAGACTGGTAAATATGTCATCTTTGATGACAGATGGAGGTAGAATTAAATAGGTGTTCAGACCTGAGGCAACCTTCTTGAAATAAAATATGTAGCTCATATTTATGTGTAAGATATGTTTAGTATGATGTTTAAAACACACATTACTCACACAGAGTGTGTGTGTGTGTTGTTGGGTTTGTTTGGGGGTTTTTTGCATGCTAAACTGAGGCATGCTCTTTTTCATTTTGGGAACAATCTGTGCACATTTTTCCTGCACTCTCAGCTGTTTAAAAAAAAAAAACGTTAAAGAAATGTTTACTGCAGAGACCATAACCAGGTGAGTTGCAGAGAAACCGTGAGTGTAATGTCCTAAATCATTAAAAAAGCTCAGCGTTCACAGAGCAGGATCTGTCAAACTGGATCTTTCCATTTCCCTGCTCACAGTCCTTATCTTTTATTATTCCTGCTAGCTCCATCCCATTTCTAAAATCCCATCCTTGGCTGCAGTGTGAGGTGGACAGACACGCCCCCCCCCCCTCCATCACCACCACCACCACCACCAAAAAAAGCCCCAGCGTAAGCATTTATTCGCTGCTCAGTCTCTGGAAAGTGCTGCAGATGCATTTACGGGAGAGCAACTGCAGCTGAATTAACCAATCTGCATATTCAGGGCCTGTTAAAAGGAGATTGTTCCTGTGTGATGAAGGTGTAGAGCTGCACAAAGGCTTGGAGTAGAAGGGTAGACCTGACTGAGACACTGAGAGGGTAGGAGGAAGGAGCAGAGTGGGGGGGGGCACAGGAAATTTATCACCGGTGCGCTGTGATTGGAGCAGCAGATTTTCTCTAGGTGAGACAGATCTGTTATGTAAGGGGAGTCAAAATGGATGTTTTGTCCGATGAGCACCAGGGCGGGGGGGGGGGGGGAGAGAAGGGGGCGGTTTCAAATGATGGAGGATGTTAGAATATGACAGCGAGGTGGAGCCGGCCATGCGTGAGGCTGGTGAAGGTGGCGTGCTCCGAGGGCATGGCAGATGTTGAGTGGAGGATGTGAGGCTGTGACTCAGGACGGGGACATACCTCTGTGTCCTCTAATGGAGCATATGGCAGGTCACAGTCAGCACTGCGCTCTGTGTCTATGTACACCATTATGTTCTGAATGTTCAGCCTGGGCAGCAGTGCTTGTTGTCATGGTATCATGTGATTTTGATATTGATAACCCTTTATAATCTACCATAAGAAAAAAGACTTTCAAAATCTGTTTTTGTATGTTTATAACATATTTTGTACATTTAATATGACTATACAATATTTCTCAGGTTTTCTGTATAAAAAGAAAAATGTTCTCTCTTTAATCATTATTATACTGTTTATTTTGTTGCATCTCTACGGTCATGTAAAAGAGAGAGGATTACATTATAAACAGCTAAATATTTAGCCATCAGTGTAAGACATGAGAAGGTAAGGTTTTTCTGTAAATATTTTTATAACGTCAGCATCATGGTGTCATCATCCAAAACAAATCCTCCCATAGAAGAATCAAAGCAACATCATTTCAATTATTATTCACACTCTCTTATTTATAGTATGACGAGCCAAATTAGATCAATTGAAATATATTTTAAAACCAACTTTACGTCTATTTCTTCTTATTATTTTCTTTCTTTCCCTCTTCCTTTTTTTATTTTGGCTTTTGAAATTCAGTATCAGTAAATCCAGATGCAGCTTAATTTCAGGTAGGGTTTCATGATCAGGCGATTTCACCCATTTGAGCACCTGAGTCTGGGGTCAACTGAAGGACAACCAGCAGGATGATGTAATGTGTGTAGGAATCAAGATGGTGGCAATGACGGGGGGAAGTCAAGCATGAAGAATGAAAGACTGTGATGGCTGCACTGAGACAAGTCAATCAATCACTGGGTCTGATGCTCACAGCTGAAGATGCTGCGGTGATTCATTGTCATGAGATGAACACGTACAGTACAGTCTTTCTGGAGGTGACATTTTTGTTTGCTGTGTGGGACAAACAAGTGTCGCTCTCTTCAATTACTGAGTGAGACCGTTTGGATTAATTAATGCAATAACCACCTCTTCTATTAGTTCATTTAATATTTAATAGGTATGCTGATTAATTAGGTGTAATGTGTAGGATTAAAGATGAGAAATCTAGAGCTGAAGATGAAGAATATATTTTGTTGGATTTACTATTTCTGTCCAAACACGGAATTATGGTTGAACCAAATAAGTTAAAAAAAAATGTGTGTAAATTTTATTTTTCTACTTTATTAGTAGTGATTTTTTTTTTAATTTTTTGATGATAAATTGAGAAATATATATCTTGTAATGGCTACCAATAGGAAACAATACTTCTATAATACGATAAATACTTCAAGTGGTATATAATTTTATTAAATAGGAATAATAATGTACTTCAACAGTTAAAAACTATTTGTCTAAGTTAGTAGTAATATACAATTCACATATAAAATTAAACAATACTATATAGTAATAACAATAGTCAATAGTCACTTCAAATGAAAATATTCAGATATTGAAAAACTCACGATGTGAATTTGACTTTTTTTTATCTGTTTGTTCTAGTGTTAAAAAAGGGAACAAACAGGAC